CAGCATTGATATCATGAATATATTAACCAGCGCCATGGACATTACCTAACTACTCATACATGAGTAAGTACAGCGAGATTTTGCACACAATGCTCTCTCCATACGACCCGAATGTCCGCGGGATTGTGTGCAAAATCTCGCTATACTTACTCATGTATGAGGAGTTGCGTAAAGTCCATGGGCGAGTGGCGCCTGGTTGCACGGTCCTTTTGGAGCGGGTGGTGTTATATATATATATATATATATATATATAATATATATATATATATATATATATATATATATATATATGTATGTATGTATGTATGTCTATATGTATATATGTATATAGTATATATATATATATATATATATATATAATATATATATATATATATATTATATATATATATATATATATTATGTAATGTGGTGTGTGTGTGGTGTGTATATGTGTGTTATGTGTATATGTATATATATATATATATATATATATATATTATTATATATATAATATATGTATATATTGTATACATATATATATATATATATATATATATATATATATATATATATATATATATATATTTATGGACATTCCATTCCATTGTAGTTTCCACTGTATACTCAAATTGTAGATTGCATAATAAATGTTGCAAAAACACGCTGCACTCTCTCTACCCACAAACACTCCATTCCTCGGCCTTTCCATCCACAAAGCCCGAAAGAGCAACACTTTATCACAAGAACTCAAGTCAGCGGAAACCTCCCTGGTCTCCCAGTCTGCATCTTGGAAGACTCGACATTTTTGGAATGCTCTTTTCTGGAGGTGCTTTTTTTTTTTTTTTTTTTTTTGAGTCACACGCACACACAGACAGACAGACACACACACACACACGCACACACAGACAAACACACACACACAAAAAACAAACTACAATGACAAAAATAAATAAATAATGATTATAAAAGCTGAATAATAAAAAATAAAATAAACAATAAGAAAAAATACAGATAAATAAATAATAATGAAACAAAAACACACACAAAAAAGCCTACAATGATAAAAATAATAAATAATAATAATTATAAAAACTGAATAATAAAAACTAAACAAAACAATAACTAAAAATACAGATAAATAAATAATAATGAAACAAAAATACATAAACAAATACACGAAAAAACAAGACCAAAGGGAGAGCTTCCTTAAGGGTGACATTGCCCTGTCTAAGAATAGGAAATTGAGGCGTGTCTGAAGGTCAACGGAGAAACGGTCCAACTTCCTTATTTCTCTAACTCTCTTACACTTGTTTTCATTCCACTCCCTTCCTTCTATCTACTTATATTTATCATATTTTTTCCTTATTTATATTTTTTGCTTCTTAGTTTCTTGTCTCTCTCCCTACCTATCGTTTTTTTTTATTCTGTATTCCATCTTCGAGTGTTTCTCTCTCTTATTTTCTCTATTCTATGCTTCCTTCCTTTTATTTATTTATTTTTTCCTTTTCTTCCTTCGTGTCTTTCTTACCTCCTGTCCTCGCTTCCTTTTTTTCTTTTTTACATCCTATTCTCTCATTTCTTTCTTTACATCTCTCTCTCCTTTCCGCTGTTCTTCCTACATTTCTATCCTTTTTCCATTCTGTTTTTCCTCCCTCCCTCCCTTTCTTTCCTCTCTTCTTCCTTCTCTATCCCTCTTCCTTTGGTTTTCTTCTATCCGCAGCCTCTCTCCCTCCCTCCTTCCCTCTCCCTTCCTCTCTCTATCCTTCATCCCCCCTCCTTCCTTCCCTCCCTCTATCCCTCTTCCTTCCCTTCCTCCTTCCTCTCCTTCCTTCCTCCCCTCTATCCCTCACCCTCCCTCTTTCAATCCTCCCTCCTTCCTTCCCTCCTCCTTCCCTCACCATCCCCTCCTCTCTTCCCTCCACCACCCTCCCTCTTTCAACCCTCCTTCCCTCCTCCTCCTCCCCCCCCCCCAACCTCAAACCAACCCAGCACCCTCAACCCTTCACGTACAGCGTCTCGAGGTGGTCCCGAATGGCATCCGAAACGTGGTGGATGGGGAAGTCCGTGACGTAGTCTTGCGTGGCAGGGGGGGGCCTCTTCTCGGACCGTGGCAGGGGCATCTGGCTCACGGGGGTCGCCAGGGGAGCCGTGAAGAAGTAGGTGTGGAGGAGAGCCTGCGAGGGAGGTGGAGGGAGACAAGGTGAAGTGGATGAGCGTTGGGTGACGGGGGGGGGGGGGGGGGTGGGGAGTGGGTAATGTCATATGCACATGAAAAACAAGTACACACACACACAAATAAAACAGACACACAAACACACAGACGCACAAATAAAACAGACACACACACACACACACACACTCATATGTGTGTGTGTGTGTGCGTGAATATGTATGTCCGTGTGTGCGTGTGCATTTCTGCGTGTGTTTATCCATCCATAAATTTATCTACCATTCATTTATTCACTCATCCATATACTTATCCGCACCTTTTTAGCAGATATCCTCTTGTCCGACGAATATATCAGAAACTTTTTGATGAGATCCATGGCATCCGGCGAAGCGTCGGGAAGAACCTGAAAACGAGGAAAAGGAGCTTTAAAAATGACGACAGTGACACATCATGTTTCACTTCGGTCTGACATGTCACTTAAAAAATATCCTTGGCATCCAGAAGGACTCGAGTTTACCTTGTTTATCTTTCTTAATGATGTCCATTAGCGTTATTATTCCGCGTGCAATCCACTGCGCTGACTGTGCTGTTGCAATATATACCTGCAACAACTTCCTTGCTAATGTTCAAGCTCATTAAAGGTACAGGTGTTTGGGAGAATTAAAATCTACCTTTCACTGAAGACTGCTTGGAGATGTACTAAAAATAGGAAGTTATTTATTTCCTTCTTATTTCTTCTCTTTCGTCTTCAAATTAGCTCTTATCTCCTTATCTTCCTCCCTCTCTTCTTTCTGAATTTCCTTGTATTCTTTCCTTCCTCCTTCTATTCTTATTTCTACATTTTCTTCGTATCCTTCCTCCCTCCCTCTCGTCTTTCTACAATTTATTTCTTTTCCTTTCATCCTTCCTTTCTCCATTTTCGTTCGTCTCTCCTTTCTGCCTTCCTCCCTCTTCCATTTCTTCTCCCTCTCTTCCTCACTTCCTTCCTTCTTCTATCCATCTTTCCTCCCTTCCTGTCTCTCTTCTTTCCTTCCTTCCTTCCTCTTTTGATATCCCTAATCTCTCCCTTCCTCCCTATCTTTATTTCCTCCATCTTTCTTCCCTCCCTTTTATCCTTTTTTTGCTTCCTCTCATTCCTCCACCTCTTTCTTTATCAACCACCTTGCCTATCACCATTTCTTCCTTCTCTCTTCTTTCTTCTTCCTTTCCTCCATTCGAATCCTGCCTAAGGGTTCCGAGATTAAAAGGAAAAGGGCATCCACTCGGGGTTCGTGACGTAAAACTAGTTTGAGTTAAAGAAAAAAGAAGAAAGAAAAAAACATAAACACAGGAGAGATACTAGTTTGAGTCGAGTTCAAATAAACTTTATAAAACAAGGTATAGGCTGGCTGGCTCTCTCTCTCTCTCTCTCTCTCTCTCTCTCTCTCTCTCTCTCTCTCTCTCTCTCTCTCTCTCCTCTCTCCCTCTCTCTCTCTCCCTCTCTCCCTCTCCCCCCCTCTCCCTCTCCCCTCTCTCCCTCCCTCCCTCTCTCTCTCCTTTCTTTCACTTTCACCTTCGCCAATACTGTATATATTGGATTTTGTGTTTTGTACATAAAATATCCAAAATCATGTGCTGCTGCTGCTGAGATCCTGGGAATATCCGATTCCCGAAATAGAAGAAAGGATACTGACCTATTATTACATTCTAAAATAATGTCGAAAAAAATAACAGTTATGAAAGGTTAAGAAAAAAGTATTGTCATTGAGGTAAAGGTTATTAAAAAATCCAAGATTCCCTCTTCCATCATTAGAAATAAATCATATTAATCACAAAATTATCTGAAAACTTAAATGGCACAATATGTCGATAAGGCAGGACACATAAAAATAGAAAGACAAATAATTAATTAACGAAATCACACACGAAAAAAAAACACATACAAATTTCTGAGCGAGACCAAATTCACTCCTTTCTTTTCCTTTTTTTTCACTCCCAATAAATAAAAAAACAAAAAAACAAATGTGCAATAAAATATTCCTGACCTTGTTTACGCTCGTATCCCACCCAAGTCACGCAGCCCGGCCGAAACAACGACTGATTGGCGGGAGTTTCGAAATGCTAAAATTCTGAGACGAAAGCGCGCCATCTCGAGTCTATAGATTAAACCAATGCATCATCGCTTGGTTTGCCAATTACACATGCGATCGAAGGATAAGTTATTTTTTTATATATATATACACAGACATACACATACACAATCTCTATCTCTCTTTTTTTCTCTGCCTCTCTCTCATTCTCTCTCTAACACAGATAATCACACACACACACACAGATATTCACAAACACACACACACACAGATACACACACACACAGATACTCACACACACACACACACACACAGATACTCGCACACACACACATACACACACACACACACACACACACACACACACACACACACACACAGATACTCACACACACACACACACACACACACACACAGATACTCACACACACACACACAGATATCACACACACCACACTCACACACACACACACACGATAACAGATACTCACACACCACACAGATATTCACACACACGATACACACACATACACACACACACACACACACACACACACACACACACAGATATTCACACACACACACACACACACAGATACTCGCACACACATACACACACACACACACACACACACACACACACAGATACTCACACACACACACACACAGATATTTACTCACACACACACAGATACTCTCTCTCTCACACACAAACACGTTCTAACACACAAACAAAGAAAAAGAAAACTTCTTTCTCCTGACAGAATGAATAGAATTTTACCGACTTGATAATTTTTTCTGAAGATAATTTATTTTCTTTGAAACGACTGACTTCATGGACTGCTCTGGAAAGAGGTTTGAGTTCCATTTAAAGTCGGATATTTTTTTTATCATTATTTATATACATATATTTCTATAAGTGTAAGTTTTATTCCAACTCTATTTAGACTTTTTTTTTCTCCCCTGTCTATCTCTCTTCTCTCCCCCCCTCTCTCTCTTCTCTCTTTTTCTCTCTTTCTCTCCCCTCTCTCTCTCTCTCTTTTTATATGTGTAAGTTTTATTCCAACTCTATTTTTTCTCACTCTGTCTCTCTCTTTCTCTCTCCCCCCCCTCTCTCTCTCTCTTCTCCCCTCCCCCCCTCTCTCTCTCTCTCTCTCTCTCTCACCCCTTTCTCCCCTCTCCCTTTCATCTTCCTCCCCTCCTTCCTTTCATCCCCTCACCCACCCACCAACACCCCCTCCCTCCCTCCCTCCACCATGAGCAAACCCAACCCACGCATGCGCATCTCACACTCACATGACTCCCCCCTCCCCATCTTCCTCACACGAAAACCCTTTCTTTTCTTCTTCTCTTCCTTTCTCTCTTCGGAAATCAAGGAACAGAAGATTCTATCCTTCGAGGTTCGAGAGAGTCACGGTTCGAAAGCTTTTTTTGTTGTTGTTCTGTTGTATTGATCGAGTCATTTGGCGTTGCTGTTTGTATTAGTGTGTGTTGTGTTTGTTTGTTTGTTTGTGTGTTTGTGTTTGTTGTTGTTTGTTTGTTTGTGTGTGTGTGTGTGTGTGTGTGTGTTTGTTTGTGTGTGTGTGTTTGTGTGTGTGTGTGTGTGTGTGTGTGTGTGTGTGTGTGTGTGTGTGTGTGTGTGTGTGTGTGTGTGTGTGTGTGTGTTGTGTGTGTGTGTGTGTGTGTGTGCGTGTGAATACGTAGGTTAGTTTCCAAGCTCATTGTCACTAAATCCAGATAGTCACGTGGACAAAATTAAGTCACGTGATCACGAACAAAATCGTGACTCGGAGGAAGAGATTGTCCTCTCTCTCTCTCTCTCTCTCTCTCTCTCTCTCTCTCTCACACACACACACACACACATACACACACACGCAGACCACGTGACAAGTACCCCTGCATGTGAACAAACCTCTCCCGGGTATTAAACACGAGTTCAACGATCTTAGAAATATTAAACAACCACGAGACTCTGTATCAGTGTATATCTTAGTCTTAAACGAAGGGAAAGACTAGCGGCGGGTTCGTTATAAGTACAGACGCAGAAATAAAGGCTTATCTGTCTATATATCTAATAGATATACATGTAACTATCTATTTGCAGAAATAAAGGCATATCTGTCTATATATCTAATAGATATACATGTAACTATCTATTTGCCCGGCTGATATGCATGTCTAGACTGATAAATATGCTTTTATTTCTTTATTTATGAATGTCAAGTATACGAATATTCTTTGGGTCGGGCCTCGCACAATTCTAACAAACCGGCAGTAGATCAGTAGCAACTCGAGGTGTCACGACGCCGGTTTTGATGATCGTTCAATGAAAATATGACCATCAAAACCATTATTTTCCATCCTTTTTGAAAACTTGAAGCGACCAAAACGTTCGACCCTATTCGCGAAGCATCCGAAACTTTGGTGACGTCATCAAAACAAACCCCAAATAGAATCAGACGCCATGACACCTCCTCGAGTATCCTCCTGATCTAGCCTTTCCCTCTAGCCTTTCTCCTTAAACGATGCTACGTAATATGGCGGGGGTAAATGTAGACGTTCGAGTGATAATAAATTCGTTATCGAGACTCTGCTTCACAGCCTAACCTAAGCAGAGGATAGCGACGGTTGCGATCAGCTGATGCCGTTGTGTTTTTGTTTCATCTGTAACGTGTTGTTTGTGGTGAGTTTGTGATCAGAGAAGAGAAAGAGGAGGTAGGAGAGGCGAAGGAAGAAGAGGGAAAGGAAGAAGAAGAAAAAGAAGAAGAAGGAGAGGAAGAAGAGGAAAAGAGGAGAGAGCGAAGAAAAAAAGAGGCGAAGGGAAAAGAGGAAAAGATGGTGGAAGTAAATGATAAAGCGAAGGAGAAAAGAAGGAATGGGATAAAGACGTGAAAAGGTGATATAGAAAGAAAGCTAAGGAAAAAGAAAGAAAGAAAGAGAAAAGAAAAAGCTGTGAATGTGAAAAATAAAAAATGCTAATGAGAAAAAAATCGTAAAGAAAAGAAAAACGTGAAATAAAAGAGAATGCAGAAGAAAGAAAGAATACTTAAAACAGGAATAACTAAAAAAAAAAAAAAGAAACAAATGAAAATGGAAGAGACTTAAAACAGAAATATCTAAAAACAGAAAAAAAGGAAAGAAAAAGAACTAAAAATAACGGTTTTAAAAGAGATGCAAACCTTCACTGACACAGGTGTTGCATACCTAACCTTGAACTTAATTAATTCCTTCTCCGTTTATTTATAGATTCAGCGTTTTTACCTTAACTCTAATCCTGTGGTAATCTGGTGGTAAGCAAAACAATCATGATAATAAAACAATACAATAATAATAAGAAAATAATTGATACAATAATAAGAAGAAAATGATACAATAATAATAAGAAAATAATTGATACAATAATAATAAGAAAATAATTGATACAATAATAATAATAAGAACAATAATAAGAAGATACAATAATAATAAGAAAATAATTGATACAATAATAATAAGAAAATAATAGAAGTAATAACAGCAACAATAGCAACAACTATAACATTATTAACAACAACAGCACAATAACAATATCAGCAAGAATAACAACAACAACAGTAATGACAAAACAGCAACAACTCCCCACCTCCCCCACCACACCCCCTTCAATTCCTCCATCACATCCCCCCCACCAAACACCTTCCCCTAAACCACTCCCCCTCCCCCACCAACCCCTCCACCCTCCTCCCCAACCCCAACAAACAACCCTCCCCCTCCCCAACCCCTAACCACCAACCTTCCTCCCTATCCACACTACCTTCCCCCAACCACCTCCCTCCTCCCCCATCCCCTCCCTCCCCCTCCCCCTCCCTCCCCCCCCCCTCCCACCCCACGTACCACCTGCTCCAGCGCACGGCCTTGGACTCCGGGAAAGTGATCTTCTTGTAGTCCGGCAGCTCCGAGAGTCCGGGCCACGTGCACTCGCTCGGGGTGCCAAGATCTGCAGCACAACGCACAGCTGGTCGATGTCGCTCTCGCCCTGCGGAGGGGGAGTGGGGGGGGGGGAGGGACGAATGGGTGGTGGAGGGAGGGGAGGGGAGGGGGGAAGGGAGGGGTGGTGGAGGAGGGAGGGGGAAGGGATGGGGTGATGGAGGGAGGGGAAGGGATAGGATGGGAAGGGAGGGAGGGATGGGGTGGTGGAGGGAGAGAGGGATGGGAAGAGGAGAGGGGAAGGGAGGGAAAGGGTTAGGGAGGGGAGGGGGAGGAGTAAAAGGAGGAAACGGGAGGGACAACGAAGGAGGAAGAGAAGAGGAAGAAAATTTCAAACCATCAGTTTTCGTCGACAATAAATTCCTAAAAAAAAAAAAAAAAAATCCACACACACATTCCAATAATTTACCTCATCTGCTCATCACGCCTCTCCCGTTACTATCGCATGACCTTCTCCTATCTATCGGATCTTCATTCCTTTATGATAATTATACTCATGAATAAACGCTCGCACCCCCCCCCCCCCCAACCCTCATGAATGACGTTAGTTCCTTGTATGTTGAAAAAAAAAGTTTAAATGAAAATTATTTACGATTATGAGTCAAGGTATTTAATTTGTTTTTTTTATTGGTTGTCAGAATTCCAAAAAAGGTAAAGGGTTAATCATCTATATATTTTATCAAATATATCTATTCTCGTTTATGTTTTTTGTCACATTAAAAAATATGTATACAAAATTCTGATAGAGGTAAAGGCTTAATTCTCCATATTTTCTTATCAAATTCTATTCTCGTTTGTACTTTTGTTGCATAAAAAAATATTTTTTTACAAATTCTGATAGAGGTAAAGGCTTTAATTCTCCTATTTTCTGATCAAATATCTATTCTCGTTTGTGCCTTTTGTTACATAAAAAAATCTTTTCATGATCCTTAAACTAAAGAGACTTTCTTTCACTCCCCGCTGACTCATCATAAACTCCCCTAACTCCCCATACACTAATATATTCTTTCTCTTAACCGAGGGGAAGTTTGCTCCCACTTCCCCCCCACCCTATCTTGCCCCCCCCCATCCCCTCCCCACCCTCCTCCAACACTTGAGTCTTTCCCCTTCTTTCTCTTAACCGAGGGGAAGTTTGCTCCCTTCACCCTCCCCTCCCCCACCCTTGCGCCCCCCCCCATCCTCCCCCACCCTCCTCCAACACTTGAGTCTTTCCCCTTAGGCCTCAGCAATTTTTTTTTTTTTTTTAATAGCAGATCTACCCACATCTATTTCGCAGAAAATGAAAAAAAAAAAAAAGTGAAAATCCCGATTTTTTTTTTTTTCAAATTTCCCGCCGATATTGTGACGTCCGCGAAAGAAATGGTAAAACAAATAAACAACATATTCATATGTGTGACAAATGTGGAAAGGTATGAATGAGAACGAATATCTCTTGTATTGTGAAGATATTCGTTCTCATTCATACCTTTCCACAAATACAAATCAATTTATCTATGATTTATTGTCTATGGTATCGTTTCTCCCGCCCCCAAAACATAAATAAAATATATTTGGAAAAAATAACTTACTCTCACGCGCCATGTCATATCTATTGTCTATCATATATTTTCCATTTTGATTTCCAAAATAACAAAACCTGGTTGAAAGAATTCTCTGTCTTCATCCAACTCCTCGAAGACTTGTAGTAAGACGCTGGAACTGAGACATGCCTTTACTTCTGATCTTTGGAAGGGAGGAGATACACTTGTCTTATTTTGGTGCTGGGATTTTTTTTTCTGGGGATATTTTTTTCTTTTTTCTTCTTTTCTTTTCATTTTTTCCTCCCATCGACATTTCATTATCACCAGACTTGCTCCCTATTCAAGAAGAAAATAAAAATAGTGTTCTTACTCCCGCATCCCTACTCCTATTCCTATCCTTTTCCTACTCCTATCCTTCTCCTACTCCTACTCCTACTCCTATCCTTCTCCTACTCCTATCCTTCTCCTACTCCTATACTCCTATCCTCCTACTCCTATCCTTCCCTATCCTTCCTACTCCTATCCTTCCCTATCCTACTCCTACTACTCTCCCCATCCCCAACCCCCACTTATCATCATTAAAACTATATCCCTAACTTTATTACTATCACTATTATCATCACCATCATCATCTATACCATCATCATCACCATCACTAATTACTATCATCATCACCTAATGGTTGACCATCTTTACAGTCATCATCTATACCATCATCACTATCACCATTTCAATCATCCTCACACACTGGAAAATCAACATCATCACTCTCACCATCATCATTATCACTTTAATAATCATCATCATCACCATTACTAACATCACCAACCATCGGAAAATCCAACTTCATCACCATCATCCTCATCCTCACATCACCATCACCTTCACAATCATCATCAACATCCTCACAATCACCATTATCAGCATACTCATTCTCACAATCACCCTCTCAGTATCATCCTCACAATCATCATCACCACAATCACTATCCTCATCCTCACGATAATTATCACCATCAACATCCCCACAATCACCATCATCAGCATCCTCATTCTCACAATCATCTTCTCAGCATCCTCATCCTCACAATCATCACCATCCTTACAATCACCATCATCCTCACCATTCTCATCCTCACAATCACCATCATCCTCATCCTCACAATCATCACCATCCTCATCATCACAATCACCACTACCATCACAATCACCATCACAATCATCCTCTCAGCATCCTCATCCTTAAAATCATCACCACCACCACTACCCACCGGAAAGATGGGCGAGTGGTTGACCATTTCGGCGAAGATGCAACCGGCCGCCCACAGATCCACGCCCTCGTCGTACTCCCGCGCCCCGTACAGCAGCTCGGGGGCGCGATACCACCGGGTAGCGACCTGGTGGGGAGAGAGGGGGAGAAGGGGAGGGAGAGGGAGAGGGAGAGGAGGGGAGGGGAGAGGGGGAGGGGAGGGGAGGGAGAGAAGGAGAGGAGGGGAGGAGAGGGAGGGGGAGGTGGGTAGAGAGGGGGAGAGGGGGAGGGGGAGGGAGAGGGAGGTGGGTAGAGAGGGGGAGGAGGGGGAGAGGGGAACAGAGGGGAGAGGAGGGGGGAGGGGAGGGAAGGGAAGAAAGAAAGAAAGAAAGAAAAGAAAGAAAGAAAGAAAGAAAGAAAGAGAGAGAGAAAGAAAGAGAGGCGGATGCAAGATAATGCAACAATTAATCAACTGACAATCAACTTCACATTAAGAAAAAACAACAACACAAAATCGTCTCATTCAACAAACAAAACCGTCCCGCGCAACCTGACAGTCCCCGGACCGCTCCTTATCCGCCCCACGAACCTGGTGCGAATAGAGACGCTTGCCGTGGCGCGCTGTGACGCGGCAGAGCCCGAGGTCGGCGATCTTGAGGCGCCCGCTCTCGCTGATCAGCAGGTTGGCCGGCTTCAGGTCCTGCAAGCACGCAAGCACGCATGAATATGTATGTGGACGCGTATCGAAGCATATGAATGTTTGATATATATCTATATCTATCTATCTATCTATCTATCTATCTATATCTATCTATCTATCTATCTATCTATCTATATATATATATATATATATATGTGTGTGTGTGTGTGTGTGTGTGTGTGTGTGTGGTGTGTGTGTGTGTGTCTGTGTGTGTGGTGTGTGTGTGTGTACACGTATGGTGCACATGTACACGCATCCGCACACACATGGGGCATACGCACACACGAGGGCGCATACATAATACACATACACACACACACACACACACACACACACACACACACACACACACACACACACACACACACACACACACACACACACACTTAGAAAGTTGAAAAAAAAAATGTTAAAGCATTTTATAATCATAATCAAACTAAGCTAAAGAGTTTTCAAGTACAAACATAATAACATCATAAAACAAGTGTACATTACAACATGCTCCCTTGTTCACGTTAACGCGTTTTAATCACATCATTCAGACCATAACGTTTATTCATAATATAATACGCTAATGGGAATGATAATAAATTAATATAAATAAATTACATTCCACTAAAAGACCGGTCAGTAAATGAATACATTAATGAGTAGATAAACGCATATATTCGGAATATATAACGAAATCAAGGAATATAAGGAGTAAATAAATAAGGAAAATAATTTAAAGAAAAATATTACACACATAAATACATGAAAAACAGGAATATAAGGAGTAAATAAATAAAGAAAATAATTTAAAGAAAAATATTACAGTCGTAAACACATGAAAAAAATAGTAATAATAAACCCAAGATTGAACACAAAACTGAACCACTCCAGGCAGTTCTTCTCACCAACCAGATGAGAGGAAAAAATAAATAAAACGAAAACTCACACAAAGCAGACTAGTGAAAAAAACAATGGCCCTCGCATTGTTTGAGGACGAAAGAATATCGACTGGCTTTTGTTTCCCGGCAGCCTCCCCCCTCCCCCCATCTATCCCCCCCCCAGCTTCCTCTCTCTCTCTCTCGCTCTCTCGCTCTTTTCGCTTTCCTCTCTCTCTCTCTCTCTCTCTCTCCTACTTCCTTCTCCTTTCCTTCCCTCCTTCCTACTTCCCTTTCCTCCTCCTCTCTCCCTCTCTCTCCCACTTTCCACTCCTCCTCCTCCCACTTCCCACTCCTCCCCCCCCTCTCTCTCTTCTCACTTCCCTCTCCTCCTCTTCCCTACCCCTCTCCTCTCACTTCCATCTCGTGAAGTGCTACTACACACTCTCTCTCTCCTCCCACTTCCCTCTCACCCTCCTCTCTCTCTCTGCCCCCCCCCATCCCCCTCTTCCCTCTCTCTCTCCCACTTCCCCCCCATTCCCTCCCTTCGCCTCCCACTTCCCCCTTCCCTCTCTCTCCTCCAACTTCCCCCTCTTCCCTCCCTTCGCCTCCCACTTCCCCCCTTCGCCTCCCTTCGCCTCCCATCCCCCCTCCCTTCGCCTCCCTCCCCCCCCTCTGGCCATCGCCGTCATTGTCTCTCACCCGATGTGCGTCAACTGGACATTGCAGCTTTACTGTGACGTCATGCTGGGTCTGTGACGTGGTTGATGCCGGGCTCTCTCTCTTCTCTCTTACTTTTCTCTCTCTCTCTCTCTCTTTGCCTCTGTCTATCTAAATATCTCTCTGTCTTTCTGTGTCTGTCTCCAATCTCTCTCTTCTCTCTCTCGCTGTGCTCATTGTCTGGTCTATCTAAATGTGGTTCTCTGTCTTTCTCTTCGTCTGCTCTGTCGATCCCTTTCTTTTCTTTCTCTCTCTCTCTAATGTTTATATCTGGTTTAAAACATTTACTCGGTTTATGCCGGTCTTTTCTTCTATGTCTTTCATTCCGCTCGTTTCCGATTCTTCCGTCTTTCTCAATCTCTGCCCCCTTTCTTACTCAATCACTTCTCTCTCTTCTTTCTCTGTCTGTCTCTCTCTCTCTCTTCTCTCTTCCTCTTCCTCTGTTTCTCTCTCTCCCTCTTCCTCCCTCCCTCCTCCTCTCCTCTCTTCTCTCTCTCTCTCTCTCTCTCTGCTCCATTGTCCTTCACTCTCCTTGTTTTCATCTATCTATCTGTCTCTTTGTCACTCCACTTTTCCCTTTCCCTTTTCACATACACACACACACAACACAACAACACACACGCAACACCACACACACACACACACACACACACACACACCACACACAGTGCACACCACGCACACACGTACATTGAACAGAAACTTGCGTATCCGTGTCCACATCCTTGCCCCATGTATCAGAATACAATGTTCGAGTGTCCAGCTACAGGTACATATATAACAGACCTCCAACATCCTTTACGTAATAGAGACAAGCCATTATCGACCCTAACGCCAATCGTAATACAAGGCGTATGTCACCCGCTGCACAGAAGGATTTGCAAGTCGTCGCTGCAACTGCACGATATGAAGGCAACGAGAAAGTCCTCAGGTTTGGCGCGTCTGATAAAAGGTTAATTGGGCGACTTTCTACTGTCAGCTCCTCTTCGTATTCCGGGCCGGTGCTTGGCGTAAGTCTGCGGGTATCTCGCTCCTGCCTCGCAAATCATGGCTAGACGTAAATGTATACGGCAACATCTACACAGCTACGCACACAGACACGAATACAGACATACAGACATACATACACATGCACACAAACACACACACAACCAAACACACACACACACACACACACACACAAACAAACAATCACATACGCATATACACATACAAAAGCAAACAAACACACACACATACACAAACAAACACACAGACACACACACAACCAAACAAACACATACGCATACACACATACAAAAGCAAACAAACACACACACACATACACAAACAAACACACACACACATACATACACAAACACACACACACAGACTGATCTGATGACTTAAAATATATCATTAATCATTCAGTATATGATAAAAATATGCTAATTTTAACTAGACAACCGTGGTTCATGTCAAGAATAATTAAACTTCTGAGAACAAGGGGCATTGTCCGTCATGGTTGAGCTTAATTCTTCATATATATATATAATATGATATATATAGTAGGTACTATATTAACTATATATATATATATACTATAATATATAGTAATATATACTATCAATAGTATATGGGTATTTGAGGTATAGTACACACACACACACGTACAGGGGTTATTGGAGGCGGTATTGACGCTGTTGTAGTAGTGCCTTGAGGACCAGTGATATGATGGTGTTAGTTGATGGTGTAGTGTGGGGCAGGGATATCGCACTGGTGCTGGAAGTCGCCACACAAGCAGATCACACACATCACAGCCAGCGACAGATCGACATGCGACTGACACACAGCACACGAGCATCACACCGACACAGCAGCTCACGAGTGCTACCGAGCTGCGACGGAGGATGAATGATCTATACTATGGCATGAGACGTAGCATATGATAATAATCAGTGATATATAATAATATCAGTAGTAGAGTGGATACTAGGTTAGGCCTCACTTAGTCCGGTAAGGTAATATGTATGAGATAATGTAAGTGAAGGGGTGTACTGAATCATAGATTGGTGGTAGATACTAGGAGGTTGGCACTACTATAGCGTATTGATCTGTTGCAGTGAAGTAATTAATCGATGATTAATAATATAGTATCAGTGAAGATTGACAACTAACGCGAACGAACAGCAGTTTAAATGATAATACGGTAATTGAAGTGAGGAAGAGATAGGTGCTTGTTATTGCCACTCCAGCGATTCACAAGCAAGAGTGACTTTCTGAGATATGTTAGCAGTCGCGCGGTCATGCTAACGTTGATATGAGCGGTGCGCGACAAGCAAGACGCCTTTGTCTCTCTACCAGGCCAACCGGTCACCGACAGCGACTCTGTGCATTGTTACGGTGGATGACGGGGTCGCGAGGAGAGGCGAGCTGCCAGGAGCAGCACGGAGCAGATGGTGCATCGAGTAGGACTCTTGACCGTGAGAGCCGGGTGTCAGTAGTCGGGCGGATCCGAGCACTCCGCTGGATGATTCAGTGCGGATGCAGGGCCCGAGGTCTCCCCAGTTAAGATTTATGAGTGGGCTAGGTGTCTGCGGGGTGGATGGTAGGCGTGCATGTCTAGCTTCGGCCGCCGCAGGGTGAGCGAAGCTGCGCGGGGCGCACTCCTCTCGGTCGAACGACGTGCGCATGTGAGTGCGGGCTACGAGCGCATTTCCATTGGGTGGGCCAGGATTGGCGGTAGAGAGATAGCGGGGGGTTGTACGGGGTGAGAGAGACAGCGCGGGTGGGGATGAGGCAGGTGGACGGGGGGTAATCTAGGGGGAGACACGGGGGGAAGAGTCTTAAAGGGGGGGGCACGGTAGAGATGAGGAGCTAGGGGGCACCTGGGGGGATGAGACAGGGGGGAGGGCGACGGGTGGGAGCTGATGATGACATAAGGGGGGGGGAGCACCGTAGGGTGATGAAGATGGTGAGGGTGTGTGAGGAGCACGGGGGGATAGTTGGTTATGGTGTAGGGGGGGGCAGTAGCGGAGGAGTGAGGTATGCAGAGGGGGGGAGGCAGACGGGGGGATTGCAGAACTAGGGGGGGGCGGGGCACGCGTGGGGGATGTGAGCGGGAACATAGGAGGGCGGTGAGGGCAGGAAGTGGACTGATGGGGGGTTATCTAGGGCTGGGGAAGGATTGGGAGTCTGGAGGACCAGGTCAGTTGGCGTTGATTATGATGGGGCAGTAGGGAGGTGTGGTGTTGCAGGGGATGCCGGGGGGTTCAGATGGGTAGGGGGATGAGCAGGTTTAGATGATTGAGTGTGGAAGGTGAAGGTCGAGGTACGTAAGACCGTAGTAGCAGGATGGATGGGAGGATGGAGGGGGGAAGAGGCATGGTGATATTTAGGAGTGATAAATGGAGGATAGAGGGAAGAGGGGGAGACAGCGAATATCGCATGGCGGAACAGGCACATAGACAATGCAGGAAGAGAAGACGAGAGAGAGAGAGAGAAGAGAGAGAGAGAGAGATGAGAGAGAGAGAGAGAGAGAGAGAGAGAGAGAGAGAGAGAGAGAGGAAGAGAGAGAGAGAGAAAGAATAAAAGAGAGAGAGAAAAAAAATGTTGCATAACCACAATAATCAACCATCTTACAAATGTGATATCTCAAGACCCTCAGAAATGGGGATCTTACTAACAAAACTCCACAAAAAGACGAACTTAAATAACAGTTCACAAGGCCAACCACCAACTAAGCTGAACGAAAGTATACCACCCATCCACAGCCGAGAAAAGCAGCAATACCCAGCAGCACAGTATATCCAGGCAGAGCAGTGCATGGCAGTCTGACACGTACCGTATACCAAGCAGCCCAGAGTACCAGGCAATGCGGTGCGGCCTGGCTAGTAGCAGCCCAGAGTACCAGGCAATTGCGTGGTAGTCTGGCGTCTGTTGTTCGCGGCAACTCCCCCCCCCCTCCCCCCCCCCGTGCAACAAGTCCAGCATGCAATGGAGTGTGCGATAAACCGCGAGAGTGATGGGGCTACGTGTTGCCCATACAAGGCTCGGGGGCCGCTCGTGGCAGGCGACTTCAAGGGAGAAAGGACGTTAGTTTGTCATCTCTGACTTGTGGGCTTTTAAGAAAGGCATGCGCGCAAATGTGTGTATGTGTATGTGTGTATATATAAGTACACACACAGACATACACACACACACACGCATAATATATGTATATATATATATATATATAGTATATATATATATATTATATATAATATATATATATATATATATATATATATATATTACGTATATACGTATATATATATATATATATATATATATATATATATATATATATATATATAATATATATATATATAGTATATATAGATATGAAGAATAGAAAAACACAATACCGTGTGATACTATGGAAGAAAAACCCCACAATGCACAACTAGATTTATTGGAGGAAAGTGAGACAGTTTCGGAATCGTCCTCGATTCATCTTCGGGTCTGACCAGAAGATGGAATCGAGGACGATTCCGAAACTGTTGTCTCACTTTCCTCAATAAATATAGTTTGTGCATTATGGTTTTTTCTCACACAGACACACACACACACACACACACACACACACACACACACACACACATATATATATATATATATATTATAATATATATATAATAATATATATATACATGCATACATACATATAAGAGAGAGAGAGACTGACAAATATACACAGATTGGTAGATAAAGCTGCTATGACTCGATCGACATACACACAAGCACTAGATCGATAGATATATATATATATGCAGATAATAAACATACACACAATACACATGGTGTGTTTGTGTGTATGTATGTATTATGTATGCAATATATATATATATATATATATATATATATATATATATATATATATATATATATATATATATATATATGCGTGTGTGTGTATATCAATATAATATATATATATATATATATATATATATATATATATATATATATATATATATATATAGTGGTGTGTTGTGGTGTGTGTGTGTGTGTGTGTGTGTGTGTGTGTGTGTGTGTGTATGTAGTGTGTATATATGTATATATGTATACCACACACACACACACACACACACACACACACACACATATATATATATATATATATGTATATATGATATATATATATATATATAGGTATATATATATATATAATATATCTCTTTCTCTCCCCCCCCCCTCTCTCTCTCTCTCTCTCTCTCTCTCTCTCTCTCTCTCTTCTCTCTCTCTCTCTCTCTCTCTCTCTCTCTCTCTCTCTCTCTCTCTCTCCTCTCTCTCAAAGACTGTCTTCTCAATAAATCAAAGCCGAGAGTTCCATCAACATGTCTGCCTCTAACGCCCAAATTTCAACGTCTCCAAGGCAATTACACCTTTAAAATGAACAATATTTACAGACGAAGTAAATAAAAAAAAGACACATCTACAAAACACAGGAAAAAAAATCGTTACTTCGTTTTCACTTCATTTTCTAGGATTGACTGTAATTTCCAGATTAGAGAAGAAAAAAAACGTAACTAAATTTTCTACTGTCGGCCTTGCATTGCTCGTCTTCCGTTTTACACGAGAGATAATTGATGTTGATTCTACTATCTATCAAACGATCACTTTCAGCTCCTGCTCTACAAGTTTGACCTTGTTTGTGTTGACACGAAATGATAAAAAAAAAATGAAATGATACATCAGTGAAT